GACAAGTTACGAAGGGATATCACAGAATACTGGAATCAAATCTAAATGAACGATCTAAAGATGGTGGAAGAGAAGAGAAGTAAAACTTCTAGAAGAGAGAAAGCAAAAGAATGAGTGAGAGAAAAAAAGAGAAAGAATATGGCGCTATCTCTGTCAGATCTCAATCTAAAAACTCCGAACATATTTTCTCGAGTTTAGAGCCCGAGCAAGCCATCCAATTGGCTGTTGCTTTGTAGGATCTCCTTCTCCCACGCTCTCTATCTTTTTCCACCTTCTACTACTCTTCTCTCCCTCTCTCTCTCTTTCTCTTCCTCTCTGTTTCTTTGTATCCTTTCCTTGGACTCTCTTCTACCTGTTCGCCGCGATCCTCGAGATCAAAGAACGCCGACAACGGCAGTTCGGTCCGTGGGGTGTCATGCGAGATGAAGGGTGGGAACCGGAGAGAGGAGAGAATCTAAAGAAAAGAACGAGAGAGAGAGAGAGAGAGAGAGAGAGAGAGAGAGAGAGAAGGTAGAAACGGTGTACCATATTCATTAATACGTTCAGGTAAAGACGTTGGGGGTACACTCACTTTTTTACTGAACCCAGATAAATAATGAACATCTTTTCGTGGCTCACATCTTTAATTAGTATTTTTTAATCATCCCTTTATTACTATGGGCACCAATGTGAGATAAAATCTATCACGGGAATGATTTTACGATCGATTATGAAAAATCGAATTAGTTAGTGAGAGGGGTCCATAAGGTTCGCGAAAGAGATTCTTAATCGTTTTTTATTCTTTTGTTACTTTTTTTTCATCTTTTAAATCGAGATCGTAAAGATACGATCGTTTACGGGAAAGGCAGGGTTACACGCATCGTGTCTCCAGATCATATCCCAAGTTCAGATCTAGAGACAAAGGCGTTCGCGTTCCTCGAGCCATCCTCCATTTATTAACGTCTATCTGTCGTCTGGCATCTGCCGTGTCGTCGTAAAAAAATCTCACCCCTTCTCTCTTCTACTTTTGTCTTTTTTTCTTTTCTTTTCTTTTTATTTTTTTTTTTTTTTTTTTTCCATTCGACAGCCAACTACTCATGGATAATTGTGACTCGATTTTCATTCTTCGAATTTAACGAGCGTGTTTTCGCATGTAGTTATAATCTTGAGTGATACAAAAAAAAGGAAAGAAAAAAAGGTTATCCACTTTGTTACATAATTCGAATAATTCTTATAAGCATTCAGGATAACGACGAATTACAGATGTAGAAATCATATGATAATTTCGAAGAAGAAGAAAAGAAATAAAAAGAAAAAAAAAAAAAAAAAAAAAAAGAAGAGAAAACGGAGGTCGTTAAATTCATGTTTACCCAGTTATCTCATTTGGGCTAATGCAAGACGACCCCCCCGATGGTGTTATCGAAGTGTTATAGCGATAACTCCATGATACGTTCTTTTCGAAAAATGATCGCGGTGCTTCTGACAAACATTCTCTCTTCTCGTGCGTAAACATCTTTTTCTTTTTTATGCTCTTAACGGTCTTGAATTCGCCACGGCTTCGCCGAGGGCGTTACCATCATGACGTTCGATTACAAATGGCAAAACCTTTAAATATCATTAACAACAATTAAACGATATAATTCCTTAATGAATTCAATAAAATTTTACTAGAAAACTTGAGAATCACTGAGAATGATAGCAACAGGTGTATCTTGATTACCTGTCGTTCCGCCTTGTTTACCACGTTGCGTTGGTAGATCGAACGAACGAACGAACGAACGAACGAACGAACGAACGAAGTCAACGAGATTAGATTGTCGCTTACTCGTTAGCACTCCGAATAAGAAGTCGTAAAAGTACGATATTTTTGTCTGTGATATCGTTCGATCTCGCTCGATTAATTCGAAAGTATAAAGATTTGATCGATAAATTTCTCCATAAGAGTGTACTTCTGTACACATTATAATACATATGTACACGTATATATATATTATATAATAAACATATATATTTTATATATATATATATATATATAAATATATATGATTATATATAGTATGTATTTCTGTGTGCGTGTTTGCATACGTATGTAAGATAGCTGCGATTTATGCAAAGTATGTCACAGACGTAAAACAAATACGAACAACATACGTATGTACAAAAAAAATATACGTTGTTATCTATGAAAAATATACATATATTGTACGTTACTGTGGTTTCCTTCTCTTTCGATCTGCTCGATTCGCTGATCTAGAAATAATCTATCGAGCAAAGTGCATTACGTAGGAAAGATTTTTCATTCTTATTCATCTTTTCTCCATCATTTTACGAAGGAATTCCACATATTTATTACCAAAAGACCTTATTTGAATCTCAATATGATTAGATATTAAAGATTTTACAAATATTACTCTTACTATTAGAAAAAAGAAAAATTGTTCCATCATTTGTCCCTGATAACCGAATAAAAATATATACATCATGATGTACATAAAATAAGTATAAAAAGAAATTTATTATTAAGTATTTCGACGTTTGAAAAGAAAAATAATTATCTTGTGACCAAATTATTCTGCTATGTTAACTCGTCTAATAAAAAGATAAACAGAATTATTAAAGAAAGAAAGACAGCTAATTGTATTTTGATCGAGCAGACGTCGTGCGAACTTAGAAAAGAATTTCGATGGAGAAGATCGAATGGGAGGTAATTGGAATGGTCGTCGCGCATCTTTGACGTCTTCAAATGTCTTCCAGCACAACTATCTATTTCTCTATTTCTCTCTCTCTCTCTCTCTCTCTCTTCCAATTAACGTAGTCTTACTCACGATCGAACATAGACGTTTGTACCTAACAGTCGTAACGTTCGAATGGACGACCGATCACTGTTTGTTGACTTTTACGAAGCCGAGAAGCAATGTGTCACGCGACAGCTTCGTGTGCCTTCGAAGCAAGTGAATAATTTCAAGGACACTGTTCTTGGACCACTTCAGATACAAATAACTTTCGTTCTCTTTACTGAGAGGCAAAGTGAATCAATTGATGCACACTGTTATTTTATTTTTTCTATCTTTCTTCCTTATTCAGAGAAATTAATATCGATAAACGCCGGTGTCGATATCACAATATATCGATACGATCGTATTTGAATCGAGACAGATCGATCATCGAATGAATATTTTTTCTTTCGCGATAAAAATGAGGATTATCATGTTTCTAAATAAATTGACATTTATGAAAACAAAATATAACACAAAAAATAGATCCGATATAGATAAGACGATTCTCCAGTTGTGATATCAATCTCGTCGACAAAATTTCGAAAGATCTCTAACGCATTCTTGCGGCTAATGGTTCGTAAATAATACGAATCGTATTACGTAATGATTCTCTTTTATGAATTTTTCCTCGAATAGAGAGAAATCGATAGCGATAAAATTCGATAGAATACATGAGAGGTCGAGATCGTGCGAATTTTCAAAATTCTTTGCGTGACCTTTGCTCTTTTCTCATCCTTTATAAATATATTCTAAAATTGATGAAGAATAACGAGCAAAATCTCATTTCCAATATTTACTCTTCTTTGCGTAAGTTAATATCGAGAATTGCAGCTTGGCGTAGACTTTTTCTTTCAAAAATGAATTAATTTGCTATAAAACTTGCTTTTCTTTTTCACGAAGCGATAAGAAGAAATGAGATAAAAATAAAATAAAACGAACACGTTCGAGTTTTCCCGAAGGTTTTTCGATTTTCGTCTTCCTGAATAAAATACGAAAATGCGAGGCCTTGAAGATCGAGACTCTGTCTCAGGGACAAAGCCGTAGGGCAAATTGCGTGCTCCTTTTCAAGATATCGTCGATCTTCGTAAAACGTATTCGTTATCGTATGAATACAAAAGTACAACGGAATGATAGCGGACGAGCAACAAACAGAACTTTGCTCCTTCTCTCTCTCTCTCTCTCTCTCTCTCTCTCGTTCGCTCATATCATTGGGACGTTGAAGAAGGAAGGATGGAAAGAAAAGGGAAGAGTAGGGATGCAAAGAAATTTGTGATGGATCGTGATACCGTGTGGGAGATGAGAGAGAGAGAGAGAGAGAGAGAGAGAGTGAACGTAACATCTCCTTTTCTCAGAAAAAACCTTTATTTATAATTGCTGGGAGCAATCGAGACGTCGATCCTCCCAGGAGCATCGCGAATCCCTACAGACTGATTTATAAATTACCATTATTACTTGCTTCCAGGCAAAACTCCGTAGAACATAGGACCTCGAGAGCCTCCAAGAGGTCGTAACCTCGATCTACTCTCGTAACGTCTTTCCAAACACACGTCGGACCGATTTATCGCATGGACCCGTCGAACCGGTCCTACTGCTACTCTTACATACTAATCGCAATGATATCGTTGTTCTGTTCTAAAAATAACAACTCAATGATAATAATGATAAGTTCAATTACATATAAGTTAAAATTTATGTGCTCGTCGTTCTATTCGTTCTTATCCTATCGATAGACACCTCGCACTTCAGAGAAAACTGATTTGTCAAAATCAGTTTTCCCCCTTGTCCCAATTAAAGCTATCAGGGTTTCAAGTGTATCACGGATTAACGGCGGTATGACTCCATTCGAAATTTCGATAAAATCGTTTTGCTCGAGCTAAAGAAAATAACAATTGTTCTCTGTTGATAGAAGATATTTGTTAGGAGACGATAAGTGTTTAGGATCATAATCTCGATCCGAGAAAAAAATTCAACGAGAACGGTCTATCTTAGGTCATTCTCATTCATCAGCAAGTTTCTTCAAGACGATCGAATTTGGATCGACCTCTAATGAAAGATCGGCACGATCGGTCTCGTCCATGCGAGGCGTCGGACACCGTCTCGTCTCAGCCGAGACGTCTATGAGTTCACGATACCAGCTGTCTCTTTCTTTTCTCAAGCGAGCCTGTGTTATCGTTCGTCGCCGAGGGAGCGAGGCAGAAAGTGGGGGCGTCAAAGACGATAGCTAGCCGATATATAAAGCTTCTTCGGTTCTCCGATGGCATCAGTTTTCATACATTCTCCGTATACGACGCGTTAAAATTATTTTCATAAAAGGATCGCTCCGTTTCTACGTACGCTCGATCGAATGAAAAAATATGTGCGATAAGAGCTGCAAGATATCGAACGATTGTATTTAAACGTCTCAGTCGTTTTCTCGGACGAAGAAAGACAAGAGAATAACGATCAAATATAAATAGTGAAAATAAAAAGATGAAAGTCTCGCTGTTTTAGCACCGATTGGATTCGGTGAACCCGATCGAATATCTTTATAATCTTATTTAATTAAACGAAAAGCGAGATAAAAGAGGAATCACGTGTATAGGTCGAAATATCATCAATCGGTCGAAAATATCGTCGAATATATTCGCTTATTAACGAGACGAGAATATTCGCGCGAGTGCCACGGCCACGTCTAACCGATCGACCGTCAGCCTCCAGCATCGTTATGTTCTCGATCGAATACAGCAAACAATTCCTGAGCTACCGTATACTCAAGTCGAACCGGTTCAAATACATCTGACGATACGGACTCGGACTAAGTGCTAAAAAAAGGGGGTTGCGAAGGGCTGAGAAAGAGTGGCGAGTGCGTGTGTTTTATGTATTTTATGCCGGCAACGACTTTGCGTTCCTACGGTCAGCTCAGAAATCAAGGATACAGGATTCAAGGGTTCTCGATAATCAACAAGACCTGGAAAGTCTTGTAATCTTCGCGTTCGATGGAAGTATACGACTTCCTCGACGATTAGACCGTAGGACATAAGCAAGCAATTCCCTTGGCGTAGATTCGAGACAAATTTTTCGAAGGAACGAGGAATAATATCGATCTATTAGCTCGTCGAAGGAGAATGCTTCGTAATTTGTCCTGAAACGAAAAGAGGAAAGGATTGCAGGCTGGTACTTACTTTCCAGGTACCATCTCATTTAGGATTAAATCTTGTACATTAAAGCTAGCTCAGGTTTTTGCCCTTAGTTGGATCGGAATTAAAGTTAGGAAAAAGAAAGAGAAAGAGGAATACTAAGTTGGATTTTTTACCGAAGGACAAGCATCCGAAAGAGATCTTCGATCGAAGCAGCAATTAAAACCGAAATCTGCACGTCTTTGGTAGACCCGACGAGGTTCTTCTTTAAAAGGCAGCAAAGGGGAAAAGGGGGAAAGGGAAAAAAAAAGAAAAAAATGATCGTTTACGTTCCGGGCAGAATGCCAAGCCACGTTGGTCCCTACGGTGCCGCTCGTTATCCTGGCACCCTGCTAGGAGCGATCCCGGGTTTTTACAACCCGGTTTCCGGTTACTCCAACTCGAGCTACTACGGGGGCTTGGGCCAGCAACACCAGCAACACCAGCAACATCATCACCAGCTCCAACAGCAACGCCAAGGATCGCTAGACCTTCCGGTTTGGCCTCGAAGGATGCCGGCCGAGGAGGAACTGGGAAACTCTCCGAGCGTCGCTCTGGTCGGCCTCGGTGTATCCTCTCCCGCTGGACTCGGAAACGGAGGACCGCCGAGTCCTGCTCACAGCGACTCCGACGCTTCCAGTTCCAGTCTCGAGCTAGGTTCCGTTCGGAGGGGTGAAAATGCCCAACTCAAATGCAGGTGAGAACATTATCAATGCTCATTATCTATACCTCAATGAAATTGCCTATGAAATATTTCTTTTTATAGCGAAATTAACGAATAAGACGATGACACGTTATCGTAGATTAAACGATAACATATACATATATATACATTTTTCATACGATTAATTTCTCTTGAAACAATTTCTCTAATATACAATATTATAATTTTTAGGTTAGGACGTATTGATAAATCATTCAATATGTTGAATTACAGATGCGAATTATTCCTTGCCGAATTTATCTTTCTTCAGCATATATATAAAACGCAATTACTAATATAACTCCAAAAAATCGGTGTTGCTAGAAATAAAAGGAAAAAGAAAACAAGAAAAATACCGAAGACATTCGAAACATTCGCTCGGCTTAATTTAATGACTTTAAGAATTAAAGAATTATTAGCTTTCCGTAATATTTCCTGATACTTGGTGATAGCATTTTATCTAAAGTCGCCCCTCTCATAAGTCGTTCTCTCTTCGAAACATTATCTGAAGACATTTCTGTTTTTTTTTTTTTTCACATCTTTTCAAGTAGCTTAAAGATTATGCATACCCCTTATCGCGTAAAAACAAATGTTCTAATCTCGGTAGAAGCCTCTTTTTACCTCTCTTATCCTTCTTCTACGCACACACTTTATGACGATAATGGCAGAATGACAAACGTTATATTCTCGCGCCATCTGTGAGTTTGCGTTTTATCTGTAAACATCGAGTTTATTGCACTTTCCAAAGGATTGACAAAAAAATATCGCGTTCTTGCAAGTTGCTCTTCGATCAGTAAAAATGGTTCGATTGTTCTACGTACGTGATATATCAACTCGAATATTATTGAAAAATGAGGAGGACATTTTAACTTCTTTATCTAACCGTCGTTCCTGCTCTCTCTCTCTCTCTCTCTCTCTCTCTCTCTCTCTCTCTCTTGCTTTCGAAACGACATTTTCATTTATCTCACTCGTAAACTCTAGCGCACATACGCACGTGTCCATGTATAAAATATACATGTGCGACGCGTCATATTCCGGTTGCAACTAGTTTACTGTATCTTCAGAGTTGGATGATATCAAAGATCCCTCGGAGTATATTCTAAGCAGATTTGAAAAGATTCTCACTCCTAGTCTCCGAGTTCGATGACTGTAAAACTTGGAAAGCAAAACGTTTTGTCTAGACGAGTTTTGTTTTCATGTGTAAATACGAACACAAGGTGAAAGAATTAAAAGAAAAGGAAAACAGAACGATACTTAGCAAGTTTCGAATTTTTTTTTTCTTCAAATTTCACGATCGCATTCAATACGTTGGAAAATACGTTCGTATAAAATAATTTCTAATGAATATATTAGGGAAAATTCTAGAAAAACGCGGCAAGTATCAAGGGAAAAAACTTGTATCATCATTTCAATATGAATTAATTTCGCGATTATTATTTCATTTTAATTATTATTTTCATTAATCAATATTCGTACAACTTAGAAAAATATCGTGAAAGATCTTACGTCAGCGTGAAAAAATGGATGATGCTCTCTTGATAGAATAATGAAAATGATTAGCAGCATGAACGTGTGACGTCTGACTTATGTACATATTTCTTTATGATTTAACGTACGAATAAAAGCAAAACGTAAAATCCTATGATCATTTAAAAATAATAAAAGGAAAGAATATTCTTTAAAAATAATCTTTTTAAATGCACATGGATGCATTTAATGCTATCTATGAAATTTCAGCGAATCTATCTGCCATCGATAAAAGATTTTGAAATAGGATGAACTTACGTAAATTTCTATCGAAGGAAAGTTTTTCCGCCGTACCTGGCACGCGGACCATTACGTAAAAACTTCAAAGTCTTATCGTCGGGAACAGAGATGCTATCGCTCTATTGTAAATTAAAAGATACAGATGGATTTGCGTCAATGACGATTCGATCAAGTCAGAGGATATCTCTCATAAGAGAGATCGTTCTGAGAGGGAGGGTGGAATCGTTCCAACTTGTAAAGAGAATCGTTCAACATATCGATTTCAAAGAATTCTTTACTAGTAACACACAAAAATCCTAATCCATCTTCTTCTTCTCTCGATCGCCAACGTAAGAATATTTTCCTTGAAGGCATCTTGATCTACGACCCCCTGCTGCATGTATCCGATTAACGGAATACGAAGTCAGTGGACTGCGAGAGAAAAAGAGATAAAAACTTAGGACGACCAACAGATAAACTAGTGTCAAATGACGCCAATCGCAAAGTGGTCGGAATTGATATCAATTGTCCGTACGATTCGTGGCGGATATTTATGACGCAAATCGTACGACGATAATTTCGACGTACGTACATCCAAGCCCAATCTATGCGTATTTATATTACATCCGATCATCCCGGTGTCGTCCTTATATATACACATACTTTGTTAAGGCGCAAAGAAATACAAATGATGCATAATGATTTCGACTTTTGCTTCCTCGGAGACGCGAGTTATATATATATATATATATATATATATATATATATATATATATATATATATATATATGTAATTACGATCGAAACAAATGCGTGTTTCTATTCTTGCAAAATTGTGTCTTTAAAAGGTCGAGTCATTGATAAGTCGAGCTCGTGAAAGTAAGATTACTCATTCATTCAGAGAAAATAATCGTATGATATCGCATAAGAGTAGATAAAAGATATATAAATCCATATGTTAGGAAATAATGGGCAACAAAGATGGGATTTTTCTTACAGATGGCAAAATTGTGGCAGATGGTTTACGTCATTGGAACAGCTTGCTGGACATGTCGCGAGACTGCATGCAGCGCCTGGTGCTCGAGGATTGTTTTACTGCGGATGGGAAGGATGTGCGAGAGGTGAACGTGGATTTAATGCCAGGTAAGGAAATTTTTTTCCAACTGCGAATTAATTGGCCATTAAGGAAGAAAATATCATTGTTTATTCTTTCTGATCAGGTACAAGATGTTGGTCCACGTCCGTACGCATACGAACGAGAAGCCACATCATTGTTTCCAATGCGACAAGAGCTTCAGCAGGGCGGAGAACCTAAAGATTCATGCTAGATCCCATACTGGTGAACGACCGTACGTATGTCCTGTCGAAGGTTGCAATAAGGCCTATTCTAATTCCTCGGACAGATTCAAACATACCAGAACCCATGCCGTCGATAAACCGTACTGTTGTAAAGTCCCGGGATGTCCGAAAAGGTACACGGATCCTTCGTCCCTGAGAAAGCATGTGAAAACTTACAGGCACTACGTGAACAACAATGATAAAGTGCAGGAGAAGAATTTCGATGAAAATAGTTTACAGGATAAAACGAGATTCGACGCTACGTCACCTGAAAAACAAAGCAGTACCACCCATTCCGAGTCTGACAAGAAAGACTCCAGTATCGAAAGCAGCAACACCTCTTGCTCGAGCCCAAAGGCGAGCAATAGCTTCGAGGAGCAGAAAAATTTTGTCGAATGGAACAATATGTACAATTTGCAAGATCAACGGAAGGAACAGGAATTGGTGCAAAATTCATACGGACAGGAGGTAAAAATTTATTCCAAGATTTATGACGACAGTTACATAATACCGGATAGAATTCAAGTGAATCCGATCTACGGAAATACGGCTGGTAATACGATTATAAAGGGATCCGTGATGTCCCCTCGTACCAGTCCAGGACACGTTCCAGACGCATTGCCAATAAGAATCGGAATGCAATCGACACCGATCAAAGCCGAAGAAACCATCGAATGTCAAAGTAAAATAAGTACCGTTGATTATAGAAATATCGATTCCATCGTGAACAGTGCACCCTGCAAGAAGGAGAGCAATTCAATCGTCGGTTGCGATACTATAAGAAACTCTGTGATAAAGCGGGCCGAAGACGTTAAGATGGAAGTGATCGAGCAAAAGGTAACGAAGGAGGAGATCAAAAAAGACATGGTGGAGTGCTGCTGCCATCACAAATGTTGCGTTCATAACAACGACAATATTTTAGAAAAAACCAAAATACTTTCGGATCTTATTCTCAAATCGCAGAATCCTCTCTTTCGACATCTTCTTGGTTCGGTGGATCTGCAATATGGTTTGCAAAATATGTGGAGCAATATCATCGACAATACCAATACCTGCGGGCAAGATCTTAGAGTCAAAAATGAGAATATCACCGAAATAGAACAAGATCTTCCATTGGACCTAACAGTCAACAAGTAATGGTGTATCTAAAGGAAATTTTTACAAAAAATATCAAAAGACTTATCTTAATTTCTGCCTTAATAGGCCCATCAAATTGCAACGTATATATGTATGTGTATTCCCAAGTGTTAATCCATTTGCAATTGATCAATATCGAAAGACAATTTTGGTAGACGAAAAATGTACTTTGTCTCAAATTATAATATTACGATACTATATAAAAATTAAGTATTGACAATTTTCACCGTATAATCCGGCGTCTATGCGCTATTAATTGTGTGTGCATAATATCAATAAGATTTTCTGTACAATTCAAAATCAAATGTCGATACACTATTACGATGTTTTATATTAAAAGGACATACATATGTAATATATGTAAATAGAAAAAATATATATACATATAAAAATATTATTATATCTGTACGGATGTTCGTACAAGCGGTCGGTCCACCTGAATATTTCTAAAAGGGAAACGTAATTTCCCAATTCGGAAAGCGCGTTCGACTATAGAAAAATATTGAATAAAAATATATTATTTATGTAAAAATCATTTATTCCTTTTAAATGTAACAAATCCCCAACACTGTTATTCTTTTTCCTCGGCATCGCATAATCCTTCTTCCTTCAACAATAATGAAATGACTTGATGCGTAGACTTTTCGCCATCATACTGCTTCTTAATAAACACGTGTACAACGACGTAAGCAGCAAACAATGCACTTAATATATCATATTTAGTAACAAAATTAATATGCATCTACTACAAATGGAAACCTTCTCTTTTGTTTTCTTTTTCTTTTGCTGCATTTTAATCATTTTTAATGACAGACAGACAAACAGACAGACTTATGGAATGATAACACATATGGCACCAGTTGTTAACAAACGTACTGGATGAAGTATTCGGCAACTCCCGCAAACTTCGATCGAATCGCAATAGTTTGTACAACAACACTGTCGACATGTTATCCGATGCGATCAACATATCACAATCTGTCGAGCGAACGCGTCCGCATAATTTCATACTCTTTGCTATAATGTTCTTCAGGGTATACTATGGCTCAATAGAAGATCCGACATACCGTCCTTAATAATTTTTAGACTTTCCAAGTCGGCGTTTATCGTATCGATAAGTTGAGCCATCCCCTGCTGCTCCATGCTTAAATACTAAAATAATTATTTAATAAATGAATCGTCAGGAACTTTGAAGAGAGAGAGAGAGAGAGAGAGAGAGAGAGAGAGAGGAAAAAAATTAAAAAATTAAAAACTAATTAAAAGTCAATAATTGCAAGTAGATGTTTCACGTACCGTTTTAATGTCGTCTTGTGCTATCGGATCCATCGTATACCTTTCTTGATTTTGGCTATCTATATGTCGTCTCATTCTAAGCTGAGACAACATTTCGCTGATTCTTCCTTTAAATTGTGTAGGTGCGCTTATTTGAGAATGCATAGCTTCGAATCTACGCGTCAAAACTTCTTCCTCTGGTTGTAATGACAAACCAACTTTACGCGTAATTTCCTGACGTACCAATACCTGCAAATAACAAAAGAATTATTTTGCAAATTGTATAATTAAAATTAAACAATATTTTTTTCGACTAATAAATTCGACTAATAAATTATATAATTAATTACTTTCGTACCTGTAATACTCTGTGTTGTAATTCTAATAATATTCTCCTATGTTCCTTTAACCTTGCCTGTGTAGCGGTATGTTGCCTTTGTAAACCTTGAATTCTCTCCGCAGCCATATCTAGAAAAGCTCTATGCCTAGCGGTCTCTTCCTTTTGACATTTCAATCTGTATTTAACTTGCTGAAAGCCTATCATCGGTACGGGTATATACATCTCAGGATTTGGATTGTCCAATTGAGCCTGCTTCCATAATCGTGGATCAATCGAACAAGGCGGATTATCTAAATATTCCTTCAATTGAGTAGGATCGAGTTTAACGAACGGAAACAAATCCTTCACGCCATTTTGTACAAGTTGTTGTTTTTGCATCGGCTGAGAAAGATAAGCGACCAATTCATTAGCGGGAATCTTTCTCGAACTTCCAGTTACTCCTTTTTCAGAAATAAAGATAGTCACTTGACTTTTATTTTTTCCTGTAGACTTAATACTATCAATTATCACTGTCAAGTTAGGTTTATTTCCAAGGATGCCGTTTAAAAATGCAATTAATTGTTGTTTGCCTTCTGTTACATTTTTCTCTTTCTTTTTAAAACAAAGTACAACCAATCCATCGTTATTATCGGCGTCGGGGATACGGCTATAGCCAATGGCCTTAAACCTACATAATGGATTTTCTTGATCTAAATCGATAGGCGGTGCATTTACCGAATAATATGCCTTTCCGGTACCCCACAATGCTTGAATGAGGTTCCATCTGGCAATTGTATTATCTCGTTCGTCATTGTATAATTGACAATTGAACACAGCGTTATAAAGTGCCTCAGAAATACCGCTGGACTGTTGTTGTTGTTGCTGCTGCTGTTGTATTTGTTGTTGCTGTTGTTGCGTTTGTATTCCAGTTCCAAACCCGGTAAAACCAGTGGAGCCAAAAATATTACCTGTTGTTTGCGTGCCAAAACCTGTGATGGCGGTTGTCGTTGTAGGTTTCTGGCCGAAGCTACCAAAACCACCTATGGACGAAGAAAAATTTGTCGATGGAACCGTACTTGTCGTGCCAAAACCACTGAATAAACTTGGTGCAGAGGTCGTCGTTGCCGTTCCAAATCCGCTAAAACCGCCAAATCCTAATGACGTCGTGGCCGTCGTTGTACCGAATATATTAAAACCAGTTGATGAAGCAGGAGTACTGCCGAACGTTGAAGGAGTTCCAAATCCAGTGGTCGTAGACGCTGAAGTTGTACCGAAAGATGATCCAGTACCAAAACCACTGGTAGCAGGAGTACCAAATGCCGAAGTTGTTCCAAATCCAATATTCGGTATACTACCAAAACCTGTAGCTGCCGGTGATCCAAATCCTGTTCCAGTTCCAAATCCAGTGGTTTGCGTTGATGGGGTACCAAAGAGATTCGTGGCTGATGTCGTTGACGTACTTAATCCAAAGGCTGGCGTTCCAAATCCTTTTATAAGAATTAACTTGAAGTTAAAGAAAACTAATTTCTATGATTCCTCTGATTGAGAAGAATATGATAAAAAAAAATATGAACGTTCAATCTGAAGTTAACTAACTTTTGTTTATATCAATTTAGAGATGTCAATGAAACATATATTAAAAACAAAAGTTTAGATTCATTAATGATAATCCATATTATTCATTTATATTGCATTTACATGTACGTATAGATATTATGAAAAATTGCAGAAAATTATAAATTATAAAAGTACAATATTTATTAAGAAATATTGGAAAGATAAAAGCTTATATTGGATGTCTTTTAAAGCATATATTAATTTGTGCATCAAAATTTTGTAAAGATCTTTACTAATAAATCGAGAATTAAGAATATAATACGAGACAATGTCGTTCATGAGCCAACAAAATCAGTTGCACGTAAGATATTAAAATTCATCGTAAAGATATTCAATGATTTGAAATTGTATTAAACGTTATCTTTACACCTTATAGCATCCTAACTTTAAGGATATGGCGCTTAATCTTTTGAAAGGTGTGACATCATCGAGCAACAAATTAGTTTTAAGACAAATCAATGCTCCGCCTTTAGATTCATCTACCGAAATGTTAAACGAAATTGGTACTACGGATCAGGCAATTGGAGTATGCATTCTTAATCACAATTCCAATCAGATTTTTAATATTGTTGTCTGCTATTTATATTGCCTTTTAGGACGTTACAGCAGAGATTATGATAACGACAATTGGAAAAATACCGAGCGAAATGTATTACCTAGAAGATACTTTATCTAATGTACAAACAAATATAGGTCAAACAACTGTATCCCATTCGATGACAGATGTTATACACACTACGATGGAAAACAATGTCATTGTGACTGGACATACGGCTCGTTCCGTAGTCTTTCTGATATTAACCATCGCATGTTTGATTCTATTATTTTTATGTTGCATCACGGCATGTATGATTTCCAAAACAAGAAGAAAAAGTTACTTTTTTAGCAGAAACGATATCGATTGTGACCCAGAATGTAATGGATTAAATCGGCCACTTCTTCGAACGGAAAAAATATCAGATGCAACCAGTAAAACGAGTAGTAGCTACTTGAAAAAATGATTAATTACCGAGATATATCAAAGCGTAGAAAGTGTCTAATGTTCATACTAAAAATGGACGTCTTAGAAATTTCGCGCCAGAAATGCTAACTACTCTAACCTACAAATTTGCACGCTTTGTATTACTCTTAGGGTATCTCAGAATATCATATTTTATTGGGAAATATTTAATCGACAAGAAGCAATATTTCATAATAAGAACTAATAAAGAAGAAAAATTAAAGGCCATTAGTCGGACGAAATACAAATATCGTGGGCATGACATAACCTAAAATAACGTGAGTTACCTAGCTTGATCGGTGTGGGAGCTGCAGTTGCTGTCGAACCAAAACTAAAGGAAGAAGCTGGTGCTGATGTGGACGTTCCAAAGCCTGTTCCAAACGACATTTTGTGATAATTGATTCACAAATAAGGAAAAAAGACACCGTGCGCACAAAAGGATACTCAACTAGAATAATCTCACACACTCACACACACACACACATACTGCTATGTAGTGTGACAACGGCGCGAGCAAACATGGCGGAATGTATTAAAAGAGTCCAAGTCGTAATTTATTCTACTTACTGCAGATGGCGCAGAATTCGAAATACATATCGCAACGATTTGATTTTATATTATGAAAAAATCATAAAATTGTATTATTTAAATTACGATTTCTTAATTATATATATATATATATCTTTAAATTTATATTTTATGTAGATTTGGTTTAAAACGCCATTGATTTTTTCTTGCCTTTGTCAAATGTAGATCGTACAGAAAGCATTTATACTTAATCTTTTACACAAAATATAGACATATTTTTTTTAACCTGCTAATTGGATTTTATTTTCGACGAAGTATATATCGTGTAAATAAGATGTACAAAGTATAGTATATGCAATACCACAACCGTTATCTGGGCTTGTCAATATATAGAAATGCTTTGTTAATCTTTACAGGTACTACATCGAAAGTAATATCTAGGTCTTGTCACGTGGAGGTTGCTATTTTTGGAAACTCTACGACTTCTCTTTATATTATCCCATTTAGTTATATATATATATATATAATTAAATTTGCGAAAATATGTATATAAAAATCTGCGAAGAAGACATGAATAAAAAATGATAAAATTTTCTGGCCACCGTAAAGAAACAGCAGCCAAATCTACAAAGATCGAAAAAAATTATTTATAATAAGTCTGTTACTGGTCAGTCCCACGTTTGCAATATATCAATGTCATCTTGTTAGATCTTTGAGGAAGTAAATATGACAATCCCTTTCAAGTAACCTACATTCAAAAGAGGTAATCTGCATGTTTTTCATTTGCCTTTGTTAGACGTGTTAACATTTTTTCTGTACACAAAAATTACTATCATACGCTTCATTTTATGATAAGTACGTAAAACTGATAGAAATACATATTCCTATATCATATATGTAGCTATATAATGTCCCTTTGGAAAAAAAACCAACCGCTGTAACGTTTAAAAATTACTTATTAATAGTACTTATATGCAATTAATTATTTCTACAAAATTTTCATATCAGCAAGAAGAATTACAGAAACGATATTTAATCAATTTGATTAAGTCGAAAATGTAATCATTTTATATGCACGATATTATAAGGGATAAAATATTTGCAAGATCTGATTAGTATAGGACGGAATAATTAAGGTCACATACAGTTTTTAACGAAGTTTATAATTGAAAAACTTAAAAATAAATATCTTCACATATACCAACGTACATATAAGATACTTTCTTCAACATTTTGATAATGCTATCATAAATATACAATTTGAGCATGTCGTTTACTTGACCTAAACAAATGAGATACAATAAAAAATATTGTGTAGTGGATATGCTCACGATATAACGGAATCGATTAATTTTTTGATCAAATTTCTAAAGAAAGCGCAGATCAACGGATAAAACACGCACATTTCAGCTCTTGTGCTTATAATTTAGTTTTAATCTACGTTGTACATACACAATAATAATAATAATAATAATAATAATAATAATAATAATAATAATAATAATAATAATAACAATAATAATAATAACAATAATAACAACGACAATAATAATAATAATAATAATAATAATAATAATAATAATAATAATAACAATAATAATAATAATAATAATAATAATAATAATAATAATAATAATAATAATAATAATAATAATAATGATTATGATAATGGCGAGGACGACGACGACGACGACGACGACGACGACGACGATAATAACAATAATTTGCAAATTGCAGTTAAATCGCGTTATCACGCTTTAGAGATGCGAAACGGTTCTTCTTTTTTCAGTAAATTACGCAATTATGAGAGTGGACAGTTCATATCATATTAACTGATAAAATTGTATTTAGAAATTACGAATAACATTTGTTCCTGCCCAATGCAACAAACAAAAGCTTTTAAAATCGAGCAAAGATCGCACAGATATGCTTAATACTAAATTTTAGAAGATAGCTTTGTCGTAAACTTTTAGCCCGTTCGTGCATATTGCTTTGACATTGTAGCTGATGATATTCTTGTAATCAGCCGATGTTGTCCGTATCTAGAAACAAGAAGTCAGAAACCATATCCTTGAAATATAGCGAGAAAACCCTAAAGAAGTAAAGCCATTCATAAATAATAATGCAAGTATCAAATATATAATATGAATTTCTTTATAAAAAAAAAGAAAAATAAAAAAAATAAAAAAGAAATATTTATATCGTGCACGATAAAATTTCAATGAGACACCTCATAAAGACTCCCAAATTATTTATGAATGGTCGAACTTTGTAAGCGTTTAAATCTCGTTAGCATTTTTTCTTTTTTTTTTTTTTTCCTTTTTTTTGAACAATATTTATTGTATTCGCAAATAATTAGCAATATTAATTATTAGCGCGGAAGCGTTAAATTTAAACGTTACAAAATTTGGGAGCAGACTTCATGAGGTTTACATCGGTTAGCAAATAAAGAATAACGAGTATTGTCTAACGAGATTTAACTGCAATTAGTTTCACACAATTTATTTATTCGATAATAAACGATATTTGATGCCACAGAGACAGAGATTCGTTTTGGTGACAAAGAAACCTACCACGTCTCTTTATCCTATTGTTATTGTTTGAACTTTCGATTATGCAAGAATAAATAAATAAATAAATAAATATTCTGTATCTTTTGTCGAATTCTATCGTCAAGAAACGATCGGATATAAGTTCTTTCTTTGGACCCGGGATTTTTGACGTGGTCAGTGATTCGAATAATTACAAATTTACATTTTCTGTAGGATTTGCAAGAGAAGTTTGGCCCTTGGGTGGTTTGATACGTGATTCGAACCCAGGTCTTTCGCTTTCCGGGCGACTGCTCTAACCGCTAAATTATCCAAGCCCTCAGGTCAACCTTCTCACGAATGCCTACTTATTAGAAATGGAGGTGTTTGCTCTTACACTTACAAATAAAAAATCGTCCAAAATAATATATACGTGTATATCAGATATCGAAAATTAATATTTTCATCGAGGAATATATGTAACATGTAGGGTTTAGGTTGGTCCTTAAGATTGGATTCTATAAGGTAATATCAAATGAGAAATTGTGTTATGGTCTGCTTGTTTTCTTTTCTTTCTTCTTTTTTTTTTTTTTTTCTTTTGATATAATATTTTGTATTATTTTTTGTATGCATCATTTTCGAGCATAGATTCAAGTATTTGGTGTCATATCGAATATTGCATCCTTCATCTCCGACCGTATAATAACTTGGAAAAAGAATACTGTAGTCGTTCTAGAGAAAGATAGAGGGAGTGTGTGTGTGTGTGTGTGTGTGTGTGTGTGCGTGCGTGTGCGTGTGCGTGTGCGTGTGCGCGCGCGAAAGAACGGCTTGAAATGGTCTAGGCCGAGATTTAATCCGTTCATCATCGAATTAAAATTTCAAATGACGTTTAATCGAGTTTCTACTTACACGAAGTTACGAATTCGATGACGTATTTACGCGCACGGGCGATTTCGAATACTTCAGACGGTTTAACATTTACACATTTACACGAATATAGAAATCTAGAATATGCTTTCGTAGAAGTAGTATTCGTACGAATCTAGGCAAATAGACGTCGAGCATCGCATGCTTACTAATTTTAACACAAAATTCGACTTTCTCCTTTATACTATTATTTTCTTTCTCTTACCTTTTTCTGAGAGGTGACAGAGTATTATTTATTTGTGATACATACGTAAAGTACCGCCGACAATGACTATTGCATGATACCATAGTTTTGGTACAAAAAATACACAAAACTTTGGTCTACTCGAAACGTCTCCGAATGAAATGAGGTTGAATGGATTGGAATTTATAAGTACGATTCCGACAATTCAAAATCGGAAGCGGAAGCTCGAGAGGATCTTGTATTAACAGAAATACCCCCACCGATTGCACTGTCCGAAGTTCCCTCGCCGGTTACAAAATCGGCTACGATCAAGGAATCCTTTCCGATATTTCCACCTCCTCCTTTTAATGCATCACGTTCGATAAGCTTCTGTTTCAAAAGCTTTATTTTATCTTCCTTCTGTTCCGGCAAAAAGGAATAAAGAAAAATATAAAAATGACTGTTCAATGTTCATAATATTCAGATCGATAAAAGTAATCGACATTTTACCTCGGCAATGAGTTTTTGTAGTTCATCATTCTCACTTAATAATTTTTGATATTTTTCTTCGTCCTCCTTTGACAATCCTACGTCAGGATTATATTTTGATTCTGCCTTGTCCCTGGGATGTCTAATCACTTCTATTACCTTCGGCACAAAGATCAACGCCATACTGAGAAAGCAACAAAATATAATTGCTAATGCTACGAAAGCAAAACTGGCATCTTGTTGACTGGCTATAACCATCGTAACGGGGGCCGTTATCAGGCATAATACAACTACGTTATAAATTGACATGCCTACGTATCTCGAATCATTTATTTGTTTCACTTTGATACTTCTCGTTTCATATGCCAAGAATAAGCCAAAGACCAGGATAACACCTTTGTAACCATAGATCGATCCTAAAACAATAATTTTCACGTTTGATCGATATAAATTGTAAAATCGAATCTGAAATCTTTTCCATTATCTTTCATAGATATATTAGAAAGATAGATAGATAGATAGATAGATATACTAACCGAGCCATATGCTATTGTGTTCGCTCTCGCAATGCTCTAACTCTGGTCTTATTCTCGCGTCGTCGTCCCCGGTTGGAGGTGATTCCAATGGGAAAACTTCGATTTGCCTTTGCAAAGGATGAAATCCTTGCCATGTGCTAAGAAGTACGATGTCGATTACCAATAATCCGCTTACCATCGTATATAGCTTCCATGGCTGAATCTTCTTCTGTATAGATGAAACTTTTTGTTTAGCCATGAACAACTAAAAAGAACGGAGAAGGGATTGAAGATGCAGGACGTACGAGTAAGGTACATAAATAAATGGTGAGATTCATAATATCTGAACGATAACAATTGACTGACCAATAGGACAGATTAAAAGAAAGCACATTCAATGGACGCGTCTAAAACGACAATAAGTCATAATACGATACAAATGAAATTCAAATCAGTTTGCTTTTTGTCACATCCCAAGCATGACGAACTAAATATTACAACGCTTCCTAATGTTCCGTATTAATTTTAAGTCTATCTACATACATACATTTATTGATTTTCCTTGAAATATTTATCCATACGTTAATAAATTTACAATAAACCAATTGACGATGATCCGAAAATAAATTATGATTAATAATATTATACTTGAGGGCAAATAAACATATTTATAAATTAATGTCGTATTTTAAATCACTCTGCGACGTTTGTAACAACGATATATAATTCCGGGGGAGGGGGGGGGGGGGGTTATTGATTTTTTTTTAATGCAAAAGAGGCCTATTTTATGGTCACGAATTGCCATTATATACGGTTGCATTGTCATATAATCTTCGAGCAACATCGGTTGATCGAAGGACAATGATTTTGTTGCTGTGCGACATTTAATTAAAACACAGGGTAACTCGTGCTGGATGGTTGTACATATATAAACTTCTTAAACGTTGGAAGCGCAAAGAAAATATGGTAAAATCGCTAAATATCCACTATTCGAGAAGGAAGTAAATGCTACTTCTGAAAACTATGCACTGTGCAGTGTAACAAACTAACTATAATAGACTAGTAATCGAATGATATGATTTTTTACTTACCTTTGCCTGATCGGCTTTCGTTTTAGTAGTGAGTCTGTGAACTCGCCATACTTTACTGAACATGGCACCGAACGCAAGAGTAAAACCGGTAGACAACGTCCAAGCTCTCGCCTGACAAATTCCTGGATATTCATTTGGTGAAACGAATCTGCCGTCGATTCCAAGAAGAAATACAGATATGAAACAGGCTATCACACCCGCCAGCATGATCGTGTTACATACCGGATGAGAAGACATAATCACCCTACAAAATCAACAGGAAGAAATGAATGAAGTAAATGATAAATGAGGAAAAGTTGAAGATATAGAATGTTCCTTATCAAACGAAATCCTTTCACACCTTCGATGTCTATTCCAGACGTTGAAAATAATCAATACAATAGCTATAACTATCCCGACAGACGATATAGTTCCCATACATATGAATAAAGGCAGTGATACCGTTCTTAGAACCGTCCTTACTATCGTTCTATCTTGAGGTACTTTCCCACCTATCCAACGCTCCATGTTCCGCCATGTAAGATTATCGCTTTGCGTATCATAGTACCCTAACTTAACGTACTTTCCATCGATTACTTGTTCGATTTGTGTCAATGCTATCCTATCACCTTGCGAACTAAATGCTACGTATCCCTGTGCAAACGGTCAAAGGCATTATTGAGAATAGACCTAATTAATTAATTAATTACAGAGCGTATCGCAAAATGTGGCCACAGCCACAACTTCTAGGATGAATTCTTGATCGTTGAGAAAATCTAACCTTAAAAACTTGTGTTTTTAAAAAGGAATGACGAATTGAAGAAACATTCGGTAAAGCAGTGGACACATCCTTTTTATACACCCTGTACATTCGAATATTTTTTACATACGGAAACTCCTAGGAATTGGGTCGAGTTGATAGCCGAATAAATCTCATCGGCGATTTCCTTGTCGGTATAGGTAAAGTTCTTCAAGCTCTTGCCTAGTTTATTTAACTTCTCCATAGTTTTGTTAAAGGCTAATGTATAGAAAAGCGTTTTCAGTTAAAGCAGTTCAATTCTAATCTTTTATAGAACGGTTATTTTATAAATATCTCGCTTTTCGTTCATTTTGAGATTATTATGCTCTAACGAAAATCTTTTAGGAGGATAACTTTCGACTGTTACATCCTCCATTGGGATTTTCATCTCGTCATTGCATTCGTATGAGAAAAAAATCGAAAATAAAAGTGAAAGGTATCCTAATATTTACTTTTTACATTTGATATGCTTACCTAACGCCACAGACCAAACAGCATCGTACGCAAGCGGAGCTTCCTGATAACCTTCGGGATATCGATTGTTATCGATATCAAAACCACCCTCCTTTAATAGTTTGTTCAATCTTTGCCTGAAATCTTCCGACGTCATACCGCTGATAGTCGTATCGTTATTTTGATTCCACATGAGAGCCTCGGTCGTTATATGTCCTTCAGCAGCTTGTCTCATTTGTTCCTTAGTACAAGCGATATTCTCCTTATCGAGATTCATCTCGAACCAATTGTCCTCGTACCACCCGATGAAAAACCAAACGTAACTCTTTCCATAAAGATTGTGACGATATAACTCGCAGAGGACTCTCCTCGCAGCTACGACGTAGAAGAGACCAACGATTATTCTAGCGTCTTGTCTGCGTAGATTCCTCACAGCATCCGATGGATCAGAGAGAAAGCTCTGACGCGTGACTATTTCTATTCCTGCTTCTTTACAGCGTGCTTCTAGATCTTCTACCGTCTGTACCATGAGAAAAGACATGAAAAATATTAGATTAGAAACATTATCTAGAAATAATGTTTACGTTTATTATATTATTATTTGGGAATAATTTAGAGACAACGATATAAATGAACTGACAGAAATGAACACTTCCTCGGCTTGCTGCAATATGGCGACACGCGACCAGCCAAATTTTTGTAGGAGTTTGATTCTCGTGGGGTTGTGCACGGTGGCGGATGGATGTGTCCTGAATAAAGTCGGGAATCGATTTCTGTCCGATAGTGCTGGTGACGAGGCACCGTAACATAGCTGAAAAAATTGTTCGTTATTTCTTATTATTTAATTTGATGAAGGAGAGAGATTACTTACGACAACCAAGTTCCACATTTTCGCTGCTTCAGCAACAGTGGTACAAACCGTGCTGCATCCGGCTAAGAGCATAAGTTTATGCGGCTTATAGTAGAGTAAATTGTACATTACCGAGGCACCAAGGCCAGGTTCGCACTGAAAAGGAATTATAATAAATTAGTGTATTACGTATGACTTATAAATTATAATTAGCCGTTTACCTGGCTGTCATTGGAGTGCAATTTCAGGGTGAAACCAGGTAACAAATTTTTCTCACGATTAACATCATCCAGTGCCAAATTCACGGCTGGCATACATGCCTATATATATGACACAAAAGAGAACCGATTAAAATTATCGAAAAGAAAATAAATTTTATTTTTAATAATTTCCAAATAAATTAAAAATAATCTATACTATAAACTTACTTGATATTTACAGAACATAATATATATTATTTGATTTTTAATTTAAGGAAAGAAACATTTATTGGGTAAAATCAGGGTTCGTGATAATTTGCGAAACAATCAGTTACAGCGTGTAAAAAAAGTGTTTCACAAACCTGACCACCCTGCCAGCCACCCTCTCCTTCTATCGGGAAAATACCTCCGATGTGGAGGATATTGTCGTTCTCATCGGAAGGTGGTAACGAAGCAACAATCGTACGAGCTACCGTCAAAATGCTAATGATTAGGATCAACATTCTGTTGCTGAATCTCTCTCTGTTTTTATTCCTTTCCTCTATCTCTCTTGTCGTATCTTTGAAACTGTCCCTATGACACGCCCAATGAACGTGACTTAGAGAGGCGCACTTTTTTTGTACTCTTCATTCTCACACCAGTCCTATTTTGAACTCGACTAAAGAAACATTTTCAGCCCTTCCGAAAAATCCTTTTTTACTAACTTTCTAACTTTCTTTCCCTCGTGAGGGAAGTTGCTCTCAATCGTAAGGATCTTCAATCTTTAAATAAATCAGCGAACTATTTTGTGGAAACACTCGATCATTATCATAGGAAAAAGAAGTCTATCGAACTCACTACAATCTTATTGTCCGTATTAAAGTGCTTTTCGTCGAAGACGGAAGCTTCGCGGGAGCTTTCATATTGATTCCATCCCGGGACTCGAGGGTAGTAGTAGGGATAAAGGAGGTGGCTCTCTCAAGAACGTTCGTACAGGTTCCCCCTCTTCTTTCTCTCGCACCCTCTCTCTGTGAAAATCGATAAGAAAGTTGTATAATAAACATGCATCGTGCGATAATTCCTTTTTTTACAGTTTTATACCGTAATCTTACTTAATTTTACATATATATATATATATATATATATATATATATATATATATATGTATGTATGTAGATCGAAATATTCGTTGTAAGAAAACATTTTTTAGACGGATTTTTAATTTGTTCGTAGTATTGTTCTTGCTTGGTTGGTAAGTTAGAACTCAACGTGATGAACACTCGTGAGTTTGTTGTGAATCAAAGAGCCCACCGTTTTCGAAGATAAAAGTGTATTATTATTGGATCAAATGGCAGCGCAACGTGCATTACCACAGAGCAAAGAAGCTTTGTTAAAATCATATACAACGCGATTGAAGGACGATGTTAAATCGATGTTAGAAAATTTCGAAGGTGCGTCCTAACCTCAAACTTTTTTCCTTGTATTTGTACGTTCTTCGAATATTGCTATATTCTCTTCTATCAAACTTTATTTTATAAAGTTTCCTTTACATTTCAATTATATTACTTTGTCTTTAGAAATCGTGAAGCTTGCTAAAGGTGAAAATGATTCGCAACTCTCACGGATGGCACAATGCGAACAGGACACTTTTGAAATGCATGTCAGGGCAGCTAACATTGTTAGAGCCGGTGAATCTCTGATGAAGTTGGTTTCCGATATAAAACAGTATCTGATTCTTAATGATTTTCCATCCGTGAATGATGCCATAGCGCACAATAGTAAATTGTTTAGAACGAAGCAAGCCGAATGCGATCAGAAATTGGCATCTTTGAGAGATGATATGGCAGCTGATTTGTATGACCTAGAAGAAGAATATTATACTTCGATATATAAATAACATCCGTTAAATCTTAGGAAATTTCTAATTCTTTAAGTTCGTGATGTTATAAATTTTTAATATTTATTTAAATAAATAGGATTAATTTTTATAAGACGACTCTCTTATTCGTTTTCATTGACAATACACATGGAGTATGAAGTAAGACATACTTGTTTCCTTTTATTACTTCAATATTTTGACACACATACGAGATACATCACACGATATTTCTAATTAATAAGCATATTCGATAATGTAGTATTGTAAATTCAAGCGTCAAATTGTGTTAAGGATGATCATAAACGCTACTTGCATAATAACATGGACTCCGATAATCGTACTTGCTCATATTGTACAAATATAATTTACAAAAACATTACGGAGTTCCCCCAATTGCAATAAGGAGATTAAAAATCTACTTTACAAAAGTGATACAAATCAATACTTTGTCAATAAATTTGGAATGCTACGCGTACAATCTCCTCCCTAACTCCGCGGCGCAGTTATCGATACCATGCAGATATAACCCTAGCCTAGGTCTTCTTAGACTTGTTCTTCCATCCGAGCATTTCCTTGAGAAAGTTACTATCGAGTACTAGAAGAATAACAAGAGTATCACAGTGTAAGCACAACGCTGTGACATTGATCCACCAATTATGGATCGTGTATAATATAGGCAATTAAATAAAAGTATTACATCACAAAATACTTGGAAAACAACAGTACCTAATTAATACCTATTTCAGACGCAACAAAACATGAGAACGATTCAATACAAACGATAAATGCACCTTTCAATAAATTATTATCTTTATATTGTATTTATTTACTTGAATCAGTCAGCGATAACGCAATCAAGTAAAGATTATCTATACCAAGTAATGCTTCGATAATACATTAAATACTTACACGATTCAAAAATGAACGTTCAGAATACATGCGGTACATTAATATCTTGAACATAAATCAGACAATTAGAAGAAATAAAAATACATAGAATATCGGTCTTAATCTAGCTTAATTTTTTCCCTCCCTAAATTTCGAGAGTGGATATCACGAACCTAAATGCTCATAAGACCAATAATAATTTAGTATATACATAATTTTTTTCACTTAAAATTAATAATTAATCTTAATGAACCAATAAATCCTTTTATCTCCTATTCCATTATTTTTGGTCCTCGTCCGCGTATGACAAACAAAAAGCTGGCTGAAATTCGAAATGAAATCACACACACACACACACACACATGTACTTTTATTGAAGTACAATTTAAGTTATGTACGAGGCGTGTTCCCAATACGCTTCGAAATATGATCGTTGTTTGACGTGAAACGGTGAATTTCTTTTTTCTTTCTTTCTTTCTTCCTTTTCGACTTCTTACAAATCCAGTAAATCGACAGTGGCTTATTGTACATGATAAGTATGATAAGTATATTCTAAGTAGACTTACGTTCTACTTTGGCAAAAAACTTTTACAAATCTAAACCTCGGTATATTTTTCTTGATGTATTGTTCTTTTTGTTTTTATTACAGATATTATACCCCACCTCGCCCTTCACGATCACATACACCTCTAAGATATTCAATTTTTTGTTTTGCTTTTTTTTTCTTTTTCTTTTTCTTTTCTTTTTATCATAATTTTGTTTTAATTTTTCTTTTTCTTTTTCTTTCCTAAAAACGTTTGCATAAAATTCTGATCCTCGATTGGCAGCTTAAATACTTAGCAGTTTAGCGGTAAAATAATCTCAAAAAGGTTACAAAACTTTCACTTCTCCCTATCGACTTTACTATGCATATATGTATATTATTTATATATATATATATATATATATATATATATATATATATCATCTATAAAATACGCCAAAAAGGTGATATGCTTTCATTTTCTCTTTGCATATATCTGACATGACTACGATGTCTCGATGAATCGTCGTCAACTGGCTCGTAGTTTTTTAAGGCGCCATATTTAGAACAAGTACTAACATATCTTGGCAGTAATCGATGATTCGTTCTCTTTAGGAAAATTATCCGTTCGCTTCGCGATATATCGTAAGAATAAGAGGTAAATGCATAAACTTGGAATGATACTGTTTCTTTTGTAAATTTGACTAAACGTCTAACCGTATTCAAACGAATTTCCTGCTGCACCGTGCATTCGAGAGGAAATCGAGGATTTCATTATCGTACTTGTTTTTATTTACTTTTGTCTCTCCTCCTCCTAACCCCCTTTCTATCCACCTTCTAGAAACTCATGGAAAAAAGAAAAAAAATTCACTCGTTCGAAAGCCATTCTCTTTCCAATCGATTTTTACAATCATGAAAAAGTTTTTTCTCTTCAATTCTACGATGCTGATCGTTTTCCTTTTTCTTTTTCCTTTTCTTTCCTATGTTATCCTCGATCTCTGGAATATGATGTATTTCAAGGTAGAAAGGCAGAAAATATTTCAACGTGATTCCCTTTTTTTCCTTTTTGGGCTCTCGCAGCAGTTTTGTCTTTCTTTCTCTCCTCTTTTCTCGCTCCTATTTTTATTTCTTCTTCTTCGCCGGTTCATCGGCTATTCAATAAAGAAGATCACCGGTCGTCTCGGAACCCCATGCATTGCCATCTTGAGCAGGTTTCAAGTAGTCGACCTCGCTCGCGTTTTGCCCTTGTTGCTGTTGCTGCTGCTGCTGCTGCTGCTGCTGCTGTTGTTGATCGTTGCCATTCGTGTTGTTCGTAGTCAAGCTTGTAACCGTTGTTAACGTAGCCCTGGTAACACCTAATTCGAAGCCCTCAGATGCCAAATCCACTTTGCTCGGTGTATAGCTCGCCAAACCACCACCTCCTAAAAACGTATGAGAAAGCGTATGAGAAGAATGAAATAAATCCAAGCGTATTTCGACGAAACGATCATTTTTATGATATGTAACTATTTTACGATCTCTTCGTCGATTGATTCTAAGAACAATTATCTATATAGATATAAATCTAATTTTTGTATTTGGGGATTTGCAACGTGATGCTTTATCACTAAAAAAAAAAGTAGGAAAACTATCGAGACGAATAAATAAGGAATTTGTTAATTTCTATATATATATAAAGTCATTGTTGTTAACTATGAAAATTACCGAGAAGCGACGGGATGCTCGTCGTCGAACCGGTCGCGGACGTTTTATTGATGATCTGCGTAGATTGCTCTCCGGAAGCAGAGGTTTCGCCATCCACGATGCTGCCCTCGCCCTCCAACATCGAGGCCTCGCTTGGATATTCGAAGGTGCGCGTCGCCATATCATCAAATTGTATTCGATGCTGAAACGAACACGGAGATATTAGTATAAAACGATCTTACAGTCATTTCAATGATGTTTAATTATATCAAACAAAAGCATTAATTAATTTCGATTAATTTCCTATTGATCGATCATTCAACACATTGAATGCCGCCGAACCCATCTATTGCCCATGTCGATCTTTTCATTTAGGCCATTGTAATTCTTTTAAAATGAAACATGATCATGAAATTCTTCATAATATTCATCAGTTAATGCATAATTTTTACGCATAATGCAATTATCATAACGTGAGTCATCGATGGATCATGCGGCGTAGTAGTACGTTTCCGCTTCACAAGAGAGCCCATATCTGCTATTATCTTCATGTTATCAATTGTCTTTTTAATTTCATTTATCCTTTTTCATTGCTAAACGATGGTAGTCTTATAATCCTCTCGCACAAGATATAAATAACAAATAAAGCGAATATAGGAATGATATCAATCACTTATATGATATCAAAAAATACAAAATGAAAGTTTATATGAATTGCTTTCTCAATAAACAATATGAAATTACAAGGAAGAGTTTTCACACACATATATATATGTGTATATATATATGTATATATATATATGTGTATATGTATATGTATATGAGGATATAATTCTAAAAAAAATCAATTTCAAGTAATAGCTCAAATATAACTATTGCTTTACGTAATCAATGAGGAAGAAATGGTATTGTAAAAATAGTAACGTTTTGTGACGATTGTCCGGATGCATCTAATTTTTGCTTATCTTGTTTTAATACTAAACATCGTTTCATGCCACTTTAGTTACATATTTGTGAGACAATATAAAAATATTATACATACAGATATTATAATTTAAAAAATGTAATGTAATAAAACTATAATAAAACTATAACTAGAGAAACAAATTATGAAAGTTATCATGAAATTATATATATTTAAAAACTTTTTAAATTACCTTTTCATATATGACAATATTACTCAAATTAATAATGTTTTCTATGTTGATGCGTATGAATATACTTATGAATATCATAATTCATGTTTTTTGAACGTTCACAATGAATACAATAACGTGGACCTATGAAATGACCACGCGGCCTCAATGGAAAATCACTATGATGATAGTAGACCGGCATTCAACATATTGATTGATTGATTCTAATTAAATCATTAATTAAATTTCGAGTGATTGAAGATAACAAAAAATTTGCAAATATGTTCCTTTCTCTTTTTCTTTCCTTTCTTTTTTTTTAATTTATTTATATTGTGCTTTTCTTAAAAATCCTCGAAAGAGACAATGTCTAATGTTCCATATTGATCCATCGAAATATTTTTTAACGTTTTGACATTAAGAAAAAGCTTCAACTTACTCCGTATAGATCATAAAAAAGAATGAAAATTAATTACAAAACAAACAAAAGCAACGGCATTAACACAGACTGGCGTGGAATAACAGTAAGCGGTCACGCTCGTTGATTTTTCGAGCACAGAAGCGAAAAGACATTCTGCGATTTTTTCCTCTCGATATAAGGTCGTAAAAAAAGATCGGAAGGAACATTTCGTGGTTTTTCCCTATTATTAACAAATAAAAAGTGATAAGTAAGAATACTTTTTATATCGATAAATTCTATCACGATTTAAAATGATCTTCATTTATTATCACGAGCACAATTCGAATTTTGTTATATAGATATGGCAATAACAGTACCTATCTACAATTATTTCAACTACGACTTTACTGCATGCCTTAATTAATTATATCTACGCCTTGAACGTTCTCTTTCCTTCTGAGATTTTGCGAATAGCTGATGTTATAAAATTGAATCAATTAACGATCACGTATCCGGGATTCTAAATGTATAATTTATTTTTAGGTATAGTCTATATTTAAAATATAAAGATATATATATATATATATATATATATATAATATCATATTTGAAATATGAAGCGTTCGAAGATGAACGATTGAATTAATTAATCACGTAGTTCGTGCGTATGTATTATTGATATAATTATTAAAAAAATATATCTAAGAAAGATTAATTTTGTAACCTGTAACCTGTTCGTAGATGAAGAATGAAACTTGAAACGATTAAAACATTAAATAACTTTCGACGTGCATATACGTATACTGAACTTGAATTAATCACGACTAAATATCGTGCTTCTAGAAACTCTTATGAAAGTAGAAATAGTTGTGAATTATGTTCATAAACATTTGTAAAATTGTAGTGAAAACGATTCTAAAAAGAAGATAGGCAAGTAAGAGGCTAATCGCAAGTTACTACCTACTTTCTTCTTGGTAAATCGTGAAAATGGCATTGTCAATAAGCTAGATGAGGTTATTGGTCATTGACAAACATTAATATGGAAAGTTCCCATTCTCCGATGCTTCTTTTACATCATGTTCCGTATGATGTATGACAAATCGTTTCTCTAACGAAAGTGCGCATAATATAAATGTTCGGCTTCTGAATTGTTTAACTTCGTTCACAAGACGCATACACGAGACATAACGAGTATATATACCACATACTCTTTGCAACGTGACGAATGCGTTACGTGACTTTGTCGAGTTGTTCGACATAAGGAACAACTTAATACGAATTGAAATTAGATACTTTATAAGAATTCTTATGAGTTTTCACGATTACCTAATATCTAACTTTGACGTTGATACATAAAAAGACAAAAATTACTGATTTTTCTAATGTTCTATATTCTATTTCTATCCTTTGTAAATACTTTAATATTTAATTATTAGATCATTCGGATCGTTCGACAAATCAGAATTTATCGTTTTTGAAATTATCGAAAAGGGATGAAAAAAAAATGCGCATCCGCCTATTACAACAGGGAAGAGTCAACAGTTGTCATTAATAAAAGAGACGAGTAGAACGAGTTAGTGGAGACAAATTCGCGGTCGAAACGAATGAATCGCAAAGCTCAAACCGGAGATACTCGGAGCGTCTGCTTTTATTAGGACATAACGGATGCGTCTACATCCAGTTTTTATCATAGCAGCCGACCTTTACGTACTCGTATATAAAGCCGTAATAGTAAAATGAGATACGTACTACTGTTATGGGAATCAAGACTTGCAATACTAAAAAACGATCGATGCAAGGATTTATTTATTTTTCCTTTTATCTTTTTCTGACAAATCTTTACTCTTTTTTTTCTTACTCTTATCATCATTAATCTTGATCGGATTATCGACGATAACGATCATTAATCTTTTATTTGTTATTTTTAAAAACAATCAATGCTAGAAGTTATTTATTTAACAATTTGCCAACGATTTAAAACATTCACTGTAATAAATATTAATATCGATCGTACAGTACGAAGAAATTCAAAGTTAAGTTCAGAATTAGACATTATTATTGAATGTATTGAAAAAGAAAAAAGTTTATAATAGATATATCCAAACGGGAACGTAGTATTATTATGTAAGTGGATATGGAAGAAAACGACAATAAATCTTTTTATGTCAAACTTTGTTCTTCTGAGATTACGATCCTACGACTCCAAGCATGTAATATCTTATCTGTGTAACGCGAATAAGTGTATACATTCGGCTTTTTCTTTCCATTGTCCGTGAAAACAAAGAGGAGTGGGGAGAAAGAGAGCGAGGAAGATAACAATTTCCTTTCTCTCAGAGATAAAGCTGTGCGTCGCTGAAATCCAGTCGAAGCTTTTGTCAACGTTAATTGTCGGTATCTTTTACTTTCTTACACACACACACACACACACACACATATATATATATATATATATATATATATCTGTATAGGTGTATGTACATACATACGTACACACGTGTATATATATATATGCATATATATAGAAGAAAAAGTCTAACACAAGTGCAAATTTTTAAAACAGACGTTCCGTCTTGTCCTTTTGCAACGTGTGAGAATTTTCGCAAAATGACAAACCGGGTTAGAGAGACAACAAACGGTTATTTGTTTAAATACCGTGAATAAGGCCGGCGGAGAGTCGGTTATCGATGTAACGACCGGTTAGAATCACAAACCGCAATTGCTATTCCGATTACGGCGAACGAAAGTTGAAACTTTTCTTTCAAGAATCGAGCACTTACTCGTTACACAAAAATTGACCACCCGTCTCATTATTCATTTTTCATCTTTCTCCTCTTTCGAACGATTATATATCTTAACGTATGATGAACGAATTTTACAACATACCAATGTTACTACTGTCTTAGTGACGTCATGTCCTACTTTTTACGTGGAAAGTTGATTCGAGCGATGATCAAAGGTAAAATTTCGGTAATTCTCGCTGTATTGGTTACGGTGAATTAATTTTTTGAAAGTGGATTTGAAAGTCAATAACAAAAACAAGTAATTATATTGTTCTTCGAATAATTATTAAATCTATAGAAAGTATTCGATGAAATAACAAGTAGTTATTTAAGAAAGATTCATTCGTCGGTTGATCGTAATTTTCTATCGAACGGATAAATTTTATATACCGGTCGGATATTTAATAATTGCTTTGAATCGTTAGAAACACGTTGTCACGATCGAATAGAACTATTAGTACCGTTATTACGTGAATCCTATACACTTCATACATATGTATGTACTTAGACGTATGCTACGCGTCTCTACGCATTTCTCTGATTTACATACACGTGAGACGACCTAGCCGTGAGCAATGCATAACAGTAATGACTAGAAAAAAAGAGAAAATAGACATGATAAAGAAAAGGAATAAAGATGCGAGAGAGAAGCGATTACATCTTGATACGCATGTACATATGTACGTACAGGTGCATAACCGACGGCTATGCACCAGTGCATTCTCTCGTACACTGTCGAAACGCGTTACTTGCGAAGAGAATTTTGTTTAGATCATTTTGTAGAATTTTTTTGCAACCACGTTCTTTGTCTTTTCAATTTCGCGTGTAAGTTTTCCAAAGTTCTTTTTACCGTGAACGAAAAAGAAGAAAAGAAGAAGAAAAAAAGGTAATCGTTCGGGACATTTGCTTATTACGGGAAACAAAAGTAGGTCGATGAAATTCTAGATCAGCTGATCACAGTAATAAAAATTTAGGAACACGCAATCGTTCTCATTTATAAACGAACGTGGTAAAAGTAAATATTTCTTTCGAATCCAAATGGAAACGATTTTGTAATGAAAAGAAAATGCACGTCATAATTTATTTTTAACACGTTTTGATTTTTGCAGCGTTAACGAATAATAATGTACGAGTAATTTCTAATAGTTAATGTAGACCTTAAATAGTAACACGCGCGTAATCATCAGTGTACGTTGAATTCAAAGCGAAAAATCGTACTTTGTTTCAAATTCCGACGATTATCAAACCTTAGTGGTAACGATAATGATGCGTTAGAAGCACGAAGAGAACAATACTATCTTTTGTCAACGGGAAACGGCGATTATGCAATGTTCATTCGCCATTGTCATAATTATTTCGTTATATTCTTCTAGCATGAATTTGCCTTTGTCTTCCATTCGTTCTAATTTTTTTCTAATTTTATCACAACGTCTTTCTCGAAACGAGTTAAATATTACAAAAAAGAAAAAAAAAAAAAAGAAAAATAGAAAAAGAAAAAGTTGCCACAAAACAGAAACTCTAACATAATAAGTCTACAATGACAAGCAACGTAAGTACGACTCGTGTCGTGACAGTGTTATTAGTTAATATTTTACGAGTCCGCTCGTTTCATATACAATCTGAGATATTAAAATAATTTCGCACAATTTCAAATGTTTACATTATAGAAGATAAACCAAGATAAGAAGCTAGAAAGTAAAAAAAGATTTTAATGCAAGATCGAGCGGAAAAGAAGAAAAGAAAACAAAAGAAAAGATTACAAACAAGCTTAAAAAGTGTCAGTCGGTCGAATATTCGATGACACTCGGCGTTAAATTCAGAAACCACAACCTTGAGAAGTTTGACGTGTACACATTTGTAAATATGTGAGTGAAGGTGTATCAATAAATGACGCGTCTCATGATCCCTCAGCATACGCATTATCGGGGATTATGTATGTAATAATATTTGTATATAAGGTATCGGTAAAAATTCGGTGTACGAACGAACACTGAATATAATTGTAAATGATAAAAGAATAGAGAAAGTATTTAACGTTCGTTAAATAATACGTAATACATCAAATTTTATTCATACGCTATCTAACATTCTGTCGAGTTAATCTAATCTAATCAGATGTTTGAATAAATATTTATCAAAAATAACTTGTTTTAGTAGTCAGTGCTTTATTAATAAATCATGACATTTGCACTTTTACTTTTTTGACACTGTATGATCATTCTCAAGTACGTTTCGTCACGTTGGTAAACAGAACATTGACATTTAGTTTTTTTCCCAGTTATTAGCCACGACAGGAATTGCTAATTACGTGCTCGCGATGCCGTTACTCTAATGACAAATAATATATCGTACGAATTATTCGTTGTTCGCCAACGAATGACCTTGACAAATATATTACGAGAGTTTGTGATTCGTCTTGTTACGAAATATCGTGAGCGATTCGAGGTAAACGCACGCTCACTTTTCGTTACGAAGCATTACATGCTTCGTTATACGCTCTCGCCGATGTTTATGGTTTTTTTTTTCTATTGTAGCAAACGTCGGTTATTCTGATATGAGCCGTTGATTACGAAAGTAGCTCCATACTTAAATCACACACACACTTTTTTACGGTCTTGTTTTATTATTACAATATAAATCGATGTAACACAAAATAAACGATAAATTTAATATTTATAGATTTTGAATTTAAATCACTTTCATAATTATAGGGACATATGTGATTTTGCGATCACTTTCTTAGTTTCTAACGAATCTTTTGACGGTATTCTATAGAACTATATTTGGCTGAGATAGGCAAAGATTTATTGTCCGATGTCTTAGCTTCGAGCTACGCATATCACCGATAAAACGATTGTTCCAAAGGTAAAACTTACCTATGATAATATGAGACGCATGATGCTAATGCGCAAAGTGGATCGTAAAACACGAATTATCTACTGTACGTCGGCACTGTCTACACCACTCTCTCGAAGAAAAAAGAAAAAAGAAAAAGAAAAACGGCAAGCCCACTCTATGCAGCTACTTGTCCCAACATGTGCAATTTTGTATCGTTAAAACATTATAATATCCTCTTTGACAAGATGCATTACGTTCGTGCACTCGTAATGGTCACTGTAAGTAAATCGAAAAAGAGAGACGGGAGAGAGAAGATCGTTTTCGATGTTTTATTAGAAAATCGTTTGATTTTATGTTCAATAAATCCATCTTCTCTCCTTCTTTTCTTTTCTACGATGTTACCAGCAAATGTTATTAGAAAATTATGTACGAGCAAGCATAACCCGTTTTTATCTTTCTCTTAAGCGCAACACGAGCTTCCTTAAACGTCGAGAACGTAAAATTGACGCCATTTTCTTCGATGTATCAAGCCAACTTTCTAATCCTTTCAGAAAAATACAAATTTTTATGTATATACGTACAGCCTTCGTGTACGACAATGATAAAGCGAGTTTTTGTTATCTTTAAGTTGGACAATAAGGTAAAAGAGAAAAAAAAGAGAGAGAGAGAGAGAGAGAGAGAGAGACAGAGATAGTATGACGAACAAGTTATCGATACGTTCCCATCAATTTTATACATGGGCTATCGCGATCGGTGAAGTAAATCGAGCGAAAATACGATCCTTCGAGAAACCATTGATCCAGCAAATATAGATTCAAAAGTAGCAAAAGAAAGAGAAACACGGAACTGTGGATCGAATGAGAACAAAGGATTATTATCGTCGACGTTGTACGACAAAGAAAACCGATCGCAGATCGTTTTGTATCTGTTATATCAGAAGATATCTTCTTACTATATTCTTTTTGCTTTTTCTCTTTCTTTATCTCCTTTCAATGTGTAACTTATATTATTGCTTTGTTATCGACTATGAAATAAAAGGAAAAAAAGAAGATGAAACATTTTTCATTCAAATGACAATGTCTAAATTTTCTTACGAGCTAGAATAGACTTTTTTATGGATTAATTAGAGCTCACCTTGTGATTTCTTGGTGTTCTCGATAGATTGCTCCGACCATTGATAAGAATATTATCATTGAGAAAGGACACATCGCAAGGTGACGGTGGTCCACCCGAAAGCTCCCATTCGGAATCATCGGTCGTTGAAGCATCCAAAGTTGCGTCTAGTACTATAATGCCACCGTCTCCAACCTGAAAAAAGGAAGAAAGGAATGAGATTTCAAAATCAGAACGAGGGACGCTTGGAATCCAGTGAGGCGACTCTCGAGTCTACTCCAGAGCTCTTGTATTACGATATATAATACATATACACACATATATATCGAATTCCGTCGACCAGTTTCATGGTTGATTTCTATGGAAAGTTCTTCTTGTTAGTTAAACACCAAATGATCGATTCTTTTTTTATTAAATAATGAATAACCGATTGTTTTCTTTATGCGGCTCTTTAGGATTTAATCAAATATCCTAATAATGAAACATCAGATCGTTTCGTTTTATCAGGTGAAAGGAAATTAATTTCTTATCTGTTCACACACACACACACATATATGTATATATATATACTACATTTAATTAATATTAATATATCATTGTTAACAAGATCATCGATTAAACAGTATACATGTATGTATAAATAGAAAAATTTAACTTATATAGTCTATAATTGAGCATGAAAGTAAAGGAAAATATATAGTAATTGCGTGACCGTCCATTAATAGCAATATTGCGGAACTTGGATTGAATTTTATTATCGATAACTTACATTATCAAATGATTATCTAATTTTTAATGTAAATGGATTAAACATACACTACCAGTGTTTTAATCGCACGGCTTTGCGTGTTGCCTTTATCTACCGTGCAAACATTGACACGTATCGCTGACGATAATGAAAAGTTTAATCTCAAATATGATTTCGTATAACTTTCACTAAAAAAAAAAAAAAGAAAAAAAAAGAAAGCAGAAGAAAAAAAAGAGAAAGAAAAATTTATTCAATGATTTCATCTGAGTGGAAGAAAGAGAGAGATTCAGCAATTTCGATTTTTCGATGAATGGAACATCCTGCCGACTCGAAAAAAAAAAAAAAACGACCAGGCCGCACGCAACGAAGTCTTAAGCGTTCTTTCAAGGGTTCTTTTCTTCCATTGAAAAGAGGAAAAAATTATTCGTGTTATTTCACTAATACATGCCGAGAGAGTCCTTCGAGCTCGTGTAGCATCGCGTCGGCCATGATACTCTCGATTTTATACTTTCCTTTCTTCGGAATGGAAACGGTTATGTTTTACGTGATGACTCGTTTGATTCTTTGCTCATCAAAAATTTCCTTAGACGGCATTAAATTTTGTTTATATAAAATATACCTTTTACTCGATCTCATTATTTTTTCCTCCAACTGAATATTAAATTTTATGCAATATAAATTAATACGAAGTGTTTTATTTTGCAATTATTGAAAAGAATATTATAAACTATTTTTAATCAGTTCTGAGTTCGTTTCTGACGTTTCAGCACAGTCACAAGTTCTTTTTTTTTTTTTTTTTACATAAATACTCCATACTCGATTTTCTTTATAATAAAGCAAAGCAGGAAGAGTTTCTCTTCGATTCGAAAGTGTCGGCAGAAAAGCATGGATCTTAACGACGCTTATGTGAAATCGATCGATTCACCGAGGCGCATACCGTCATGACGAGGACGTTATCGATTTCCGGTCCACTTCCGGAGTCATTCGAACCAGAAATTGCACGAGAATTTCGTTTCGAAAGCGATCCTACCGTTCCGTTTCGCGTTTAATTCAACATAAATTTTTCAATTATTCTAGAGAATATTTGACTTCGTTGGTACAGTATCGTTTTGTTAAGAGTACAAAAAATGGTTCCTCGTCACGCGTCGTAACGTTTAGAACTACGTTAACGGACGAGCAACGATGGAGGTCGTGTATTCGAGTCAGCAACGTAACATCTGCGCTGAAACTTAGTTCAAGGATGCAAATACAATATATATATATATATATATATATATATATATATATATATATATATATATATATTGTATATATATATATAGTACCAAAAAGTAAGTAAACATATGTTTCTTACGTTAGACTAGTTTTTTTTCTAAAACCTGAAATTAGCTATCATAACAACGATAATAGCTAATTTCAGGACAAAGACTCTATTGTTTTTCATGTATTGTTTGCAAGTTTCTTTTTTTTATTAACTTATCACTATCACACTGAATTCATTAGAATACATTACTTTTAAGAGTTACAAAAGTGAGTAAATATTTTTAATCTTTAGCTGAAATTCTGTTGAAATGTATTTTTTTTTATTATCTGTACTGTATTATAAATTCATAGGATATAACAAGTATCCTTGCATAGTACAAATAAACTTTTTGTTCATTGTACTAAATGCAAAGTATTTACTTACTTCTGTTACATACCGAACTCAAAGATCTACAGTCTATCGATTGTAAGAGTTTGTATTAAGTAGGTTCTTTAACGTCCAAGTTATAAAGTCAATTTATAAAGAATTTTTAATATAAATACCTTTTTAGTTTCAGTTTTACATTATATTCATGCGTTGGTCTAATTCGTTATTATTTCATTTGTTAAAAGAAGATTCTAATATTGAAATAAAAAGATTTAATATTTAAGTAATTTGTTGTGTTTTTTAAAACGAATATAATTTTAAAAATATTAAAAATCTGATATCATATATACACGTAGACACTATAAATTGTTTAATAGAAACTAAATCGAATCTCTTTACATTCATTTTCACATCAATATCGAATTGTATTAAACTTGTCGATAATTTCAAAAAATCCTATTGATCCTAAACTTAATGACTGAAGTATTCTTAAAGAACGTAGAAATACTTTGAATAGTAACCGTACGTGTAATTGAAATACGAAGAAACAAGAAAAAATATTAAAGTATTGAGTGAAAAATAAAATAAGTGTGAATGTAATTTAACGATATAGGAAAAGAGTTCTCAAAGAGAAAATATAGTTAAAGGAGCGGCAATGAACCTGAGTATAGGGTCCCTGACTTCATGAGAAATTCCCAGGATGTTTCTTTCCATTATTCCGAGCGTAAGGAGGTATCACTCTGTTGTAGATAGACCTTGAACTCTCGGAGAGTCCAACGACAACAACGAAGACATTTGCTTAACGATCGCATGTGAATATATATCCGAACAAATATATGTCCCTTTACACATTCTTACATTTTTTTCTATCCTTTACGCATATATATACGCATACGTTCGCATAACTAAGCGGAAGGATATCAAAAAAAATTACAACCACGAATTTACATATTCGTACATCATACAACATAAATATAAAACGATTTTTAAATAATTATTCGTACAATTATCCTTTCTCTCTCTCTCTCTCTCTCTCTCTCTCTCTCTCTCTCTCTCAAACGAACGATACTTAATTCGAGTATCTAATTGCGAGGTGGACCATTCGGACAAGCAAAAAAAGCTTGATTATGAATTAATTGATCACTAATCTTTTAAACTACCTTGCAATCTTTTTTTCTTTTCCGTTTCGTGCAAAATTGAGTTTCTTAGCCATACTATTATGAAATTATAAAATAACGTTTCGCGAAGAACATATACTTTTATACAAGAACAAATAAATGAAATGTTATTTTCCGATTAAAAATGACAATAACACGGAGACGAACATACAGATTATTAATATTACTTATGGTTACTTTACATATATCCTCGTAAGTTAGAAGAAAGGTAACTAATAACAATAATTTTATAATTATTCTCAATTCTCATTAATGTAATTGGACAAAAATTTATCGAGTATCTGATTGAATATCGAAGAAGATGGATACGTTTTTATGTTTCAGGAAATACGTGTATATCTATAATCCATCGAATTAATAGCTCTCACAAACATCTCTGATCGATGTGTTGTAATGGATGATCGTCGATTGGCTTCATACAAAATAGAGAAGTTCAAATCGAGAGAGAGAGAGAGAGAGAGAGAGAGAGAGAGAGATCGTTGACTGTTCGAAGCTCTTCCTGGATCGCGACCGGTTCCACGTATGCAGGAAACGTCTATTTGTGTCATCTCGAGCGTCGAAGCGACGCGAATGCGAAATACTCGGAGGGAAGCCTACCGTATCGAGATCGCTCTTCCCCTCGTTCAAAAATATAATCGCAATCCGTGGTAAACTTCTACGATTCAAGGATTTCAGAGATTATTCTTATCGAAAATATATAACGTTGATAATATTTTATTTTTTTTAAATTTAACATTTATTTTCAGATGCGAGATAGTTTTCAAGTACTTACTCGATAACAATCAATTGATACATACAACATGTGTCTCTGAATTGTATCGCGATACAAAATATTTCTTACAGAAATTTGTCGTGTTTAATCTAATAATATAGAAACGTAAAAATTCGAAATAACAATAGTTATACATTTTATAATTAACACGATATTTGCAATTTCATGGAGAATCTTTGGAGAAGATTACGAGGAAGAAAAATAAGGGGGAAAAAAAAGAAAAGAGAAGAGAATTTCTGTCGTCTGCCCCACATACCAAAAATTGCAAGCAGCTGATAGGCTTGTGAAAGGATCGTTGGAACATAATATTCCTTAGAAGGCCGAGTTAAGGAGCGAGGCTGAAAGGCGCTAACGGATCTCCATCGGTTTATCTCTCTCTCTTTCTCTCTCTCTCTCTCTCTCTCTCTCTCTCTCTCTCTCTCTCTCTCTCTCACTCTCTCTTTACTTGGTTTAGCTCTAGGACAACCATATATGTGGATTCCGCGTAATATTCTCTGGAATGTCACCGACGAGGGCACACTACTTGCTCTCTCGTAGCTTTTTCCATGCTTCATATCACCGTTCCTTGATTTCTTCATTGATTTTGTCGTTATCGTAAAGTATTTTTTCATTATTTATTTTACGTCGTCATCAAAGATTTGTCCCAACTTTTTTTTGTCGTCTAATTTCATTCTTTCATTCAATAGTGTGCAAACTATTTATATTAGCGATCCAACTTCTTAAACAAAAATTCTGCATATGACCATTATGTATATATATATCTCCACTAATATAATTGAATAAGTTGTAAGGATAGTAATGTAAATTGAGGCCATTGCGAACAGAACAATTCGAAATCGTGCGTTGTAATTATAATTTTTTGTTGCT